AATACAATTTAATGAAGTACTTATTATAAGTTATAATTAATTAATTATTCGTTTAAAATTCGATATCCATGTCCCACAATACTCAAAAAATATTTATATTTCAGGTTATGGAATTAGAAGTGTATTTTCAGGAGTGTTATTGGTCCTGAAAAGGAACTGGATATCGAAGATGTTAAACGATATAATTATTATTTCCATAGTATATAATGCTCTAAAATGTAATTTATAAAACCTCGAGCTAAGTCTTTATAACATCTATAAATAACTGACTCAGATATATTATATCACTTACTAATTAACAGTTTTAAGTACTAAGTAGTACAGTTATTTTTATTTCCTGGCAGTTTTACTATTTGAACTTAACCTTATTTTATAAATAATCTATTAAATTGATATAACGTTTTAATATTTAAACAATTGTCTTTAAATATTTTATATACACGAGACTATCCATGACCTAACACAATTTATTCTACAACGATATTAATCTATATTGATAAACCTTGGTGAATCAAAATGAACCAACTTTGAGCACATTGAATTTATGCTTGAATAAGTTTAACTTCTAAGACAGGGTTATTTTATAATTTCTATGTCCTAATCAATAAACTTGATATTAAACTATAAAGCACGGCACTATATTAAGTGCATTTAGTATAAAAATTAAATTTAAAATAATTAAATTCAAAATATCACAAAGCTTTTCTCTTATTGAATTTCTATTATTTAAGGTCAAATAAAACGAAATTCACAATACCTTATATCGTTGAGAAATTCTTGTATTTCCGGTTTTGTATCAGCCCAAATGCCATTTGCAGTTTCCACAGTCTGAGATTTTATGTAATGTGTCCAAAACTCTGTTGTATCTTGAATATAACACCAAGTGCGGTTAACTGATGTACGTAACGCGTTCTAAATATGCACATTCACGTAAGCATATATATTAATATTATAACGCATTAAAATAATAATAATAATATATTTTAATTACCACAATATTGTCTTTTAAATCGATTCTCCATTCCAATGTAGAAGACAGTAATCTAGAATGGTTAAGACTTAAAGAAAATCCAACATCTGGAATAATTACATTGTCTTCGGTTCTCCATATGTTAAATTTAGCATKTTTACTCTCCAACATATTTCCAGACATAAACAATTGTTTTGTGGCGTCTAGAATATTTAATTTAAGTGGAAATAAGACACAAATTCAATGAATACATAAACAGGGATAACTAATTAAAAATA